CCATCATTTTGTCTCAGCTAAGAGCTAGGAAAACATCACATTCAGCGTAGTTATAACTAAGCTCGTACAGCAGTGGGGCTGCCTGTTAGCACACTTACAAAGGCTTTACTAACTAGCTGCTCCTCTAGCTCTTGTAGAAGCCTGAGGGGTAGCTGATAACTCAAACTGCTTTTCCTGGAGGATTACACACTGATTAACAGATCACAGAAAATCTTGAAGCTGAGGCCCAAGTCTGAGGACATCCCCAAGGATAGTTTGAAGATGTAAAGATACCCCATACCAATAACCCAGAAAATCTTTACTGAAAATTATCCCAAGACTTCAGTTCCTTTACATCCACATCTGGGGATGGAAGAAATTGGGAGAACAACAACGTCTAGGAGTTGGTCTACAATTTAGCTAAAGACAAGTTGGTTTTTATCTTAGTCTTGTACAACTCTCTCTAGACCTCGTAACTATGCTGTCAATAGCTAGATTGCAATAAACTGCTTATTTTTTCCTTAAACGCTTGTTCTATATTCAAAGTAGTTTCAGAATGCCCAGCCAACACCCAGCAGTCCCATTCTTACGGGCACGCTCACTGTCAAACCAAGTGTGCTGGATTGCTTTCACAGCACCTAGCCCCCAAACCGGGGGGGTTTGGTTTTTTTTGAAGAGGTGTTTTTTCAGGAGGTGGTACAGGCCCATATGAGCTGCAGCGACTCACGGGTAGCATGGGAGAATATTTCTCAGGGGTCAGCATTAGTCGGAGGCTCCCCGCGAGGCAGCGGCGCTGGCAGAGGACCCTCCCGGGCTTCCTGTGAACTGAGCCACGCAGCAAAGGCAACGGGAGCACTACAGAGGGGGAGCTCCGAGGTGATGTTTTAAGTGACGCTATCCAGGAACGCCGCGATAGCTTCAGCACGGAGTTAATCATTTTAGGATGGCAAATATATGAAATGTTCAGAGGAGACGGTGAGGCTGCTGGCGGCTCCGAGCGGACAAACGGAGCTGGAGACATTACCAATGCCTTGAAATGTCCATGGGTGCGATGAAGAGAGCTGCTTTAGGTGCCCCTCGCTCAGCACTGCTGTTTCAGTCAGCCAGCAGGTACAAGACACACACAGCTAACCCATCGCATCGCCTCAGTAAAGAAACCCACGTGCACGTCAAAAAAAAGGAGGCTGAAAACAATCCACTCCCGACAGCCCAAGGGTCAAACCCGAGGGGCTCCATCGCAGGCAAGTCAGGGGCTGGTGCTTGCTGGCAGGTGGACAGGGCTTGTCCGCCCACGGGTCCTGTCCCTGGTCCCCACCGCGCACTGCCCCAGCGGCTGCTGAGCTTAACGCAGGTATAAACTGGAAGAAGCACGTCCAGCCTCTGCGGGAGAAAATGTGTCAGCACCTTGACGGAAGCAGGGACTAAGCATCGCACTTCAGAGCAAGGCTAAAGCTCAAGTCTTCGTATTCCTCCTTTTCACTCTTACGTGCTACGTTAAACCTTGTAATGGTCATACTCACCTGCTTGGGCTTTTGGTTACGGCCAGCAGAAAATATTTCTGATTAAAATCTAAACTGTAACGTTAGCTTGGCATCACGTCGCAAGGAGAACATTTGTCATTGCTCTGCAAGGAAGAGAGAAACTGGAGACAGCAGATGGGGAGGAAAAGCACCAAAGCCCAGCTCTTCCTCCACAGAGGATCCCCGTCAGCGGTTCATACCGGGGGAGCTCAAGGACCTTTAGCACCTCCTAGGGCTTTTATTTCAAACGGCAATGCAAGCAGTAAATACATGGGCTGCACCCCAAAACGGAGCAGCCTTTTGCTGCTAGCGATTATCTAAAGCTAGGCGGGCTTGGCAGATGTGGGGAGCAACCACCATCCAGGCTATGCCGCAATTTCCACTCCTGATCCTTCATCCTGATACTAATCCTTATATTTAATCTGAATATTAATAAATCATTTTCAAACTACTTATGTGGCGGATGGAGGCCCACTGGCTTCCTGCGGCCACAGCCGGGGCCATGGGGGAGCCCAAGGGTCTGCAGGAGGAGTGAAGAGGGTCAGGCGTCAGAAAAACTGACGAAGGCTGCCCACACTGAGGATGACCCAGCCCCCAGGGGACCCACCACGGGACTTCCCTGGAGAAAGCAGCCTTTTAAACTTTTAGGGAATAAAAATCTCAGGTGAGGGCACAGTGTTCTGTTGCCATGACCACCGGAATACTCATGACTCATCCTGGAGAAGCATGGCAGGGACGTGACACCCTGGTCCCCCGTACCCAGCGTGCCGGTGGCAGCGTGCGGGACCGGCGGGCGAGGGAGGTGTAGTCACAGCCAAGGGAAAGATGACAGCAACCAGAACGGAAAATGAAAGCTGTAGCGCTCGGTTGGACCCCACATCGCCCGCCCGTTAGAAAGGGAAACGGATCCCGTCCCTCCTACAAGCAGAAAAGCCCAAGGCAAGCAACAACTCAGCGACAGCCTTTACCAATTACCTAGCCCCTGCTTTCCCACGGGAGATCAGTCCCGTTGCCTTAGATGGGGACAGGACAGGAGGCACCCCAGAGAAGCACGAAGTTAACACAAATATATATATTTTGGCCCTGGGGCTTCCAAACTCTGAATTTACAAAGTATTTGAATGGTTCTTTGCTTCAGGGCTCTTGAGCTTCAGCAATACGACTAAATCCACCTCCGCTCTCATCACCCTCGCTGACGGGCAAGAGAAGCCGAGGTGGAAAGGAAATAGGGAACAATGGCATCAAAATAAGATTTATTATTTTGAACCAAGATTTGGAAGAGACAGACATGGCAGATAACAATGAAACAATACGCCAGGCTCCAGCCGCGACAAAGGATGGTACGGAAAGGCTTATGGGCAAATAGAAATTCCTATTTCTCTGGTATCAAAAACAAGAGAGCGAAAGAGTCAAGAACATCGTGGTCTGGGACTGTCTGAGGGGGAAGCAACTGAGGTCCTTGGGTGCATAGCACAGCAGCAGAGGGTCGGAAGAGTTTGGGGCCCAAACGCAACAGCAAGAGCGGGACTCTCCCCCACTCCTTAGGAACAGTGCTAAAACCCATCTTTCTAAAAAAAGCCTCGAGGTGTCCTTTATAATAAATGATTACTCACGAGCTTATTGCTGCAAATTACTTTGTACATCACCTCAACCCAGGAGACAGCTGAAACCCATCGTCAGTGAATCGAGAAAAAGAAATCTCCCACTACATAATTTTAGCTTGTTGAAGGCACTTTAAAGTCTTTTAAAAATTGCTCCAATTACTGACTTGTCTGTAGAAGGATTTTAGTCTTACGTTTAAAATTAGAAGTGACTCAAGAACTGTATTTAACTCTGGCAAGAAAACGCAGCCGGTCTATAAGAAAAAGAAAGAGGTAAAAAGGGAAGTGACAAGTACAAACTTACTCTCTGGTGAAGTCTCTGTAGGTTTCTTTACTTGATTTAAGCGGATTTAAAATAGAGTATTATCTGTATAACTGTGAGAAATTTAAACGGAATTGGAACTTATCTTCCTTGTACTAGAATCTGAATACACGTGCCTAGCTTATCTTTTGGAAGATTACTTAAATTGCAATTAACTGTGTGAAACAAAAAGTATTTGAAGGAGTGCCTCCTCCTCCTCCTCCCTCTTCTCCAGCCGCTGCTCACGGGAACCTGGCTCACAACAGAAGGGAACAATTTGGAACAAAATCCTTTTCCCCCAAAATAATTCTCCTTTATTTTTTTGCATAACATTTTTGTATTTCCAACTATAAATAAAAAAATGATTAGAAAGAAGTTACAAAATTGTGTCGAATGGACCAGAATGGCACAGAATTTCTCACACATGATAAATCACTTCCCATCTTCCTCTTCCTCCTCCTTAGCCGCGGCGGGGCCTTGCGCTTGGCACCGTAGCTGAGGGGGCCACATGTCAGTCGCTGACGATCTCATTTTCAGAATCTAAAAAAAAAAATATCCATATATGGATTTCACGTATAGGAAAACCCAAACAAACCCCAAAAAGGGCCACATGAGATCGTGGACCCGGAGCGCGCGGAAGATGCTCCTGCCAGAGCGTGCCAGCCGCCGCCCGCATTTCGGGTACCGGAGGGAAACGGAAACCGAAATCCTCCCGTTAACACATCACCCGCGTCGTACTGAAAGCTTAGAAGCATCAACATATTTATGCTGGTGGCAGAACCCAAGCACCTTGTGGAGTCACTCAGACGGAGTCCCGATTCCTGCGGGGGAAGAGCTAGTCTCCTAGGAGGCAGAAATAGAGAAAGCCAGCGAAGACGCCCAGTGTCCGTCTCGGTTTATGGGGCTCTGTCGCTGGGTAAGGAGGGGAGGGGGACGCGGCGCTGCGTGCCAGCTGGCGGCCGCTGCAGGAGGCTGCTGCAGGGATGGCGGGGCTGCTGGGGCAAGTCGCGGGCACCACCTCTCCTGCGCCTGCCGGCTCCGCTGCACGGCCC